GCACCTCACCACTCTCTGTGAAGAACTTCCTTTGGTCATCCAATCTGAATCTCCCCTCCTTTAGTTTAAAACCATCCCCCCTTGTCCTGTTACTGTCTACCCATGTAAAAAGCTGACATGTACCAGTAATAAGTAAAGTGGTTTTCTAAGTACGGTGATGAGGAAAGAGAACAGTCAATTTGATATCCTGTGTTTCTTTACATTTTTGTGGGTTGATATGTGGCTTCTGTTGATTTTACATGAGGAAACATTTGATCGTTTCCATGAAATATTGATCCACTTCCATGGGAGCTGTGATGGATATAACAGGTCTTTGATGAGCTTTTTTTGTCTCATTAATACGCGTTGTATCTGAGCCTAAAAGTTAACAAAGACAAATACAGAGATGGCTTCTGTGACTGTTAATTAGATAGATCCAATCTGTCTGTATAGGAAGCCAGTTTGTGCTTTAATTATAGATGCATCCCCTCAAAATAATTGTCTGAGTTTCCTAGGTATGTTCTAGAACTGCCTTATTAATTAGCAGCTGAATGTTAGACTCAAGTAAGTGCTTAATGTGGGCTGACTGCATCTTATCAATAGACTGTCTGCTTCTCATCTTAAGTAGCAGCTGCAGACCTGGTGCATCTGGATTTCCACAGTGCACCAGAAGCACATTCTTTGCTGAATACCACCACTCTCCATACACAGTCTGGATTTGGGAAAGCGTCTTGTGGTGTTTTATCTCTACTATTCAGGACTCATTGGAGTAGCATGGCTGGTCGTACAGGATAACAGGCTTTCTTGTATTTTGTGCCTGTTTTAACAAAGCAACGTTTCAGCTTAACAGCAAAGACGAGGCTGTCATTTCTAATGCTTACCAGTTTTGTGGAATTTCACTTCACAGCATTACAACATCAACTTTTCAGATGAATAGCACTGCTTGTGATGAAGTATTTCAGAAAAAATGTGTTTTGGAGCTTGCTTTCCCCCTTATTTGGAAGGTGTGCGTGTTGCAGGCATAAAATCAAAGCAATATATTAGAAATTTGATTGAAGACTGTAAAAAACTTCTCAAGAAAAGACTCAGCCCAATTTGTGTCATGTTAAGTAACTTATGTCAGTGGCACATTGAAGTCCAACAATATAGTAATTGAGCACTTAATAGGAAAAGTATTTTATTGCTGAGAGAATACAACTTTTTGAATTACTCCCTTAGGTAGAAGGATTTTATAAAGATATACTTCTTTCACTCCATTAGTCTGAATTAAATTATAATTACAAATACATTTTTTTAATTGTAGGCTCGATTTCAAAGTATGTCTGTATGTTTTATAGAAATATATTAATGATGTTCAGAAGTAATGGTACTACACTTACCATGTCTTTTAGAGGCTTATTATTTTTACATTTTTCATATTTTTAAATTTAGAACATTGTTTAACAAGCAATTGAAAGCAGTTGAAGCTGAGCTAAATGTGCTAAATTGATGATTTCCTCAGTAGAACTTTATTTTCTTCATAGTGTCTTAAATCTGTAAAGTACCACTTACTTTTAGTAATTTTTTGCCAGTGTAGAGAGTAATTTGTGTATAGATTATTTGGGTTTGATTTTTTGGGTTTGAGTTTGTTTGTTTTGTAGTGACAAAATCTCACTACAAAATTGTGAAACTACACTTACAGGTTGTAAAGTCTTCCTTGGTATTTACCTGTGCCTGGAACTCTTCAATACTGGCTCGGTGAAGTTGTTTTATGTATTTAAAGAAATATGCAGTTCTTGGGTACTGAATATCACTTCTGGGATACTGTAATGCAAGAACTGCATAAGTAAGCAGTAAGAAAAGAAATAATAGGCAGATGAGACAAGAAATATATTTTAAAACTATACTATTCAGCTGCAGATATATTAAAAAAAAATCTAGTGTTAATGTTGCTGGAATAAAATATTTTTAAAGTCCGTTTGGGGATTTTTTTTTTCCATTACATTTTAATTTGTATGTTTGATTATAATTCTATTTAGTGTAGAGAAACTGACACTTTCCATTGTACAAAAAAAAAAAACAAACAAAAAAAAACTTTTTACTGCTTTAGTTTCAACTAAAAGCTTGCTTGCCAATGAGTTATTTAATGCTGAATTTAAAACTTTAATTTTAAATTCATGAATTCAGTCTTTTTTTTTTTTTAAAAACAACTTGGACTCCCCCCCCCTCCTCCCCCTTTTTTTTTTTTACTCCCCAATTCATGTGTTTTTTTTGAATATTTAAAATATTGGCCAAATTGTAGGCTTTCTGTCAGGAACTTTGATTTATTTACTCACTACATTTATGCATGCCCAGTGCTACTGCTGCGCAGCACAGCTGAGTTTGCAGAACAATTCCTACTTTCATTTTCCAAGAACAGAGAGAAAAATGAGCAAACCTGTGGCTGGACACATGAAAGCAATCAGTTTCTTGGAATTTATGGAAGTTTGTAGCAGGTAGGAGGGATGAAAGGGATAGAAGACCAGGGATTCATGTGTGGGCTGTGGGGGGTTTTGAAGATGCAGCTTAGAATAAAGGGGCGTGCTGTGAGGGGCACAGGGATTAAAGTACACAGCTGAAGAGCAGACACCAAAGCCAGTAGCAGAAGGAGAAAGAAGATGGATGATGGCAGAAGAATGGATGGGGAGGAACAGCATGACAGGGTAAGCAGATGGACAAGGGAAGGTGAGCATGCGAAAGCCAAAAGAGAAGTTTGAGAGGATCTTGCTACAGCAAAACCTTTGTGGAGGATACTAGGTACAGGAAAGAACCGGAGAAGGGGTAGTAGGGAAACTTGAAGACAGGAAAGAAGAAAGAAAAAGAGAGCAAAAATATTCCTGAGAACTAAGGGATTCATCTCTGCCTGCTGGAGTTGGGTTTATTCCTGCCTGAGTATTTCTCTATTGCAGAGAACTGAATCTTGGAGACAAAGAGTTGGGGCCAGTGTATGCAAAAGGGAATTGCTTTTTACTGAAAATTGGAGTCCATTGCTGAAAATTGGAGAGCTCTGTGCCACAGGTCCCAGCTTGCTGGCACAGCTCAGCGGGGCAGTCTGGCTCCATCATTTTGTTGTTCTTGCTGTAGCTCTGAAGTCTTTTTAAAGGTGTGAGAACAACCATAAAAATAGAAATGCAAGATCTCAAATGTGAAGTTAAGCCCTCAAAATTCGAGAACTGCAGTAGCTAATGCCTTGTGTGGTTATGCAAATGGTAATAATAAGCTCTTTAAAAGTAGCTTGTGAATATGATCACATACTTGATATGGTATTAAATTTTTTATGTATTATAAATGGTTATATAACTTGTATTTCATAATGAGCATCTAAGTATTTGTATAAAGACAGTCAGAAAAGTAGTAAACCCTTTGTGTAAATGCAAAAACCCTTTGTTTTCTTGCTGAAAGCCTGCTTTCTTTGGACATTTGTTGTATGACTGTGTGCTAGTAAAAGAACTGGTCTAACAGTAATCTTATGGAGATGTGTTCCATAAAATCAGATAGTGAAGATGTCTCGTAAGTAATAAATAAAATTTGTTTTCTGAAGATTAAGAGCATGGCGAAATTACTAAGGGTATCTGAAATAAGTCACTGTCCTTACTGAAATTAGGGTTTTTACCCAGTGGCTATTAAATGATCAACACAGAGCTTGTGGACATCCTGAGAACTGTTCTGTAATTTTTTTTTTCTGTGATTTTTCGAATGACTGAGGTTCTTTCCCATAATGAAGCTAAAAAATGCCTGAAGTGCAGGTATAGATAGAAACCTCAATGAGAAGTAACTGTTTCTTTCAGGCACTGAAATTAGCCTCTAGCTTGAAACTTTAAATTTTAGGTTATTAGAGCTTTTGTTTCCTTACTTTTTAAAAAGCACTGTATGTTAAATGTCAGAATTGTCTACTTTTTCTTTCCTTAGGTAAAAACTTTCAAAAATAGCTCTTTGATTATTTAAGACCGAACTTCTATATAGCACTGTTACTGAAAAAGATATTTGAAAGGAGCTTTCAGTCCTAATGGCGCAACTGCATTTTGCTAACATGCCGTAGTAATACCCTAAGGGATGAAATAGTGACAAGGTTCAGAACTCCCATGTAAAATTAGCACTTGGACAGAAATGCTTTGGAAGAACAAATCCAAAGTCCTGTTCTGTTTGTTCTGTTCTAGCCAGTATCATTCTTCAGAGTCCTTCTCGGTACTATTTGCACCCTTTCTTTTTGTAAAGAAAATTCTAATTGCACTGCCTGATGGTCTTCTTACTACAGTTCTGCTCCTTAATTTTCCATCTTAGGAGTGCAGTTACATCATTGTAGATAACAGCCAGTAGAGTTGGTAATTTTTGCAACCAATTCAACCTTCCGCTGCTTTCAGACCAGGTTTTATTCTCGAGGTATATAGTATGTAAGTTTGTCCCAAGCAAAACGAAAGATTGCAACCTCATAATTGCTGTTGATACTATTTACTCTTCTTCTGTGGCTGTTTTGCCTGGTAATCTGTGTATTCTCCTCTGGCTCTCATGTCCCTCTGTCTGTACTGGTTGTATTGATTAACTGTTTCGCAGATTCTAGAATGTGGTCTACCGTTCTGTCCTTAACTATAGCTAAGTGCCTGTTTTGTGAAGTATTCTCTTTAGCATCATCATTAGTTGTGGTCCTATGTGTATTTTATTGGGATGAAGGAGGAGGAGGGTTGTAAATACTGTGCACTGGGGTCTGTTCTGGGAAGTCTACTGACAAAAAGTGTTGGAGTGCACAACTAGTCCTGAAGTGTGATTTATGAAAAAATAGAGGTCCAAATAATTGTGTTATTATACACTTCTGTTTTGTTTCTTCTTATAGTTAGTCTATCTTATTTTCAAACTGATATGTTCAATTTAATTCAAACATTGCAGTTTTTGTATTCACTTCATCAAAATATTGCAAACCATTAAAATCCATGCATGAAGAAGTGATCACACATACATCTTCCTCTGTTTGAGAGATTACACATTTCTTTCTATTCATATTCTTCCAGGTGACTTGGATTATTACTGGCTGGATCCTGCCACGTGGCACAGCAGGGAGACATCTCCTATTAGTTCGGTAAGCAACAAGGAAAAAGAACGTTGTAAGTATGAACTAAAATGATTGCTGATAATTTCAGTTTGCTATACATATTTAGATATTTTAAAAAAATGATGTACAGTGAGTGTGAAAATTTGGTTTCATGCATCATGAAAATAAAAATCAGAAGGGATTTTTATCAAAATCTCTACTAATTTTTAATAGATTTCAAATCCAATACTAACCACAGAAGAAGCAGTGAATGTGGTACTGCTCCCGGAGAAATTAGTAATATTTTTTTCTATTAGAGTGGGAAAGGATATTATTGTATAATGAACATGTATGCTTTGTGCAACATACATTTTATACTACAGAACAGAACTTATAATTTTCAGGGTCCCGAAATCAATAGCAAATGTCTAATCTTATTAGTAGCATTCTATTTTAAACAATAAATTGTATTAAACATTTAATTGTAATATAAACCTAGCTGTAGACTTACTGCTGAAATTTTTTACATAGTGGTTGCATTTTTATTTTTATTTTTGTTCACTGCTTGTTTTTATCAACAGCATCCAGTAACGTGGCAGCCTTCTAAAGAGGGAGATCGCTTAATTGGGCGTGTTATTCTTAACAAGAGAACAACCATGCCAAAAGAATCAGGTGCATTACTGGGGCTAAAAGTAAGTGTTACATGCTTCATGGGTTAATGAATGACATTTCTGCTGACCTGACTGTTTGGAACCTTAATGGACCAAATCAGAGTACTCTTCAGTTACTTCAATTCATTTAGTATCCCAAATTACTCATTTTGTACTGGACTTCACAGATTTTTGTCCCTAAGATGCCAGAACACTTAAAAAGAATCCTTCTGGAGACTGCTGGCGAGTACAGTGTTCAAAAATATGCGTATTTTTATTAATATGGAGCTCAAAAAATGACTGATAAACTTAATTTAGGTGTCATCCTCTTTCCACTGAAACCAATAGAAAACAAGAAACAGAGGAAACATTCCCATTCATTTACAACTAAGTCAGCTTCTACTTGTGTTCAAGCTCTCACATGTGGTCCAGGTTGCTGGCTTATTGTGATGGGAATTAAATCAGGAAAAACCCCTGTGAACTTGGTAATGGCATGTCACTTATTCCTCTCAAAGGGAGAGAAGATAAAAACAGCTTTGTTCTACTAAACATTTTGTAGTGTTTTGCACAAGGCTGGTTTTTGCTAGCAGCAAGCATAATTTTCTTAATGTGAGACAAAAGTTTGGCCCCAGTAGGAAACATAGATTGAAAGGCTTCTCTGTTTTTTTGTTGGTTTTTTTTTTGTTTGTTTTTTTTTTGGGGGGGGGGGGGGGGGGGGTTTTTTTTATTTAAAAAAAAAAAAAGGATAAT